CAGTGGGGATGGTATTTTGTACAGTAATAGTTAACCTTTGCCATAATGTATTTTTTATGGTTTGTATGCCGTAACCGCTAGGACATATTCTGTGTACTGTACTTTTTATGACTTTGTTACAGCCAGTCATTAAAAAGTCAAAAGTGATAGTATAACCATGTCTTTTCAAGGAAAAAAGAAAAACCTATTTTTGGAAACACTATTGAGTGTTAAAAACAAATCTTGAAATCCTTGTGAGTTCAAAAACTACAGTATCTACAACCTTATATTTTGATACACCGTAAAATCTTTGATTTCTCCTGTTAGAACACTAAACATTCCAAAGAGACTTCAAAATCTCTCCTTTGGAACAGAGTAGGCTATAACCAAAAAAATTAGCAATAAGCATCCCTGTTCTCACATGCTCTGTGCGTGTCCATTTCCTATCCCCAACTGTATCACCGCCTTTACTTGGCGAGACTGTTCACCATTCAGTAACATCTTTGTCTCTTCCTGTTTTTTGCTTTCAAATTATATATCATTTAATTTTCAAAAAATACGGTACACATATACAAGAATGTTCCCTACATTTTACCTGTGAGATATACTGCTATATTCAAACAAATTCTGTGGTTATTTTTTGCTTTTAAAGTCTATTCACTAGAAATGCATCGAAGGTTTCCTATGTGCAAGAAACTTGCTGGGGGGCCAGCAGGGTTTGGCAGTGAGTGTGGGCACGTGGGGTTTATATAAATGAATAAGACATGCCTCCTTCTTCTAACTTGGATGGAAACCTTGTGCCTTTGTTCATCTTGCTCCCACATATTGCAGTGCCAGTCTCCTGCTCTCTAACCACGGGAGTCTCTACATCCTTCATTATTTCCTCCATGAAGCCCTTTCCAGAATGTCATAATCGAAGTTCATCATCTCATTTACCCTTAAGAGGTCACTGTATATCTGTATAGCATTAACCGTTTTGCTTTTCGTTATCGTTGCCTTCATGTCTGATTATACCCGTTATAGTTAAGCTGTGGCTATTCAATTTATTTTTTTTTATTTTGTTGTATTTTTTCCATTACCATTTAGTCCTCTTACACTCCCTTCCCCCGAAATCACCGTACTTTTGTCTATGTCCATCAGTCCTTTTTCCCTTAAGCAGGGACAGGGGGGAGGCGGGGGGGGGAGGGATTGAGCAAAAAAGGCTATTCAACTTAAATTAGTTAAAATGAAATCATATGAAAAATGCAGTTTTTTTGCCTGCCCTGGACACATTTCAGTTGCTCAGTACCCACACGCAGCTCATGGTTTCCACGTTGGACGGTACAGATTTGGGCTAGTTCCACCCTCAAAGAAAGTTCCGTTGGAAAGCAGTGCGATAAAAAACGGGCAACGGAGAGGAGATCGACTGAAGGCTAGAAGGGCGGGCTGGGTGGAGCGGGTGAAGGGGAAAAAATTGGGACACTGCAATAAACAATAAAAAACAGAAGATATGTCTAAACAGTTGTAAGCTTCTTGAAGGCAAGGGCTCCAAAAATTGTCCCTCATTGAAAGATGGAGCCACTGATCTTTACCGTACAAATTTGTTGTGAAGTTTATGGAAATAGGCATTGAAGCATCGAGCATTTGTTTGACATGCTCAATACCTGTCCTCTCAATAGTGAGTTAAGAATTTACCACTGTCCTTCCTTGTGAACCTGTCTGTGTCCTTAGCACCTCATTTAGCCAAATAACTTGAGATTCCCTACTTGAGTCGTTTTTTTTCATGAATGAGAGTTTTGTGTGATGTCTTTGTTTGTCTATAGACCTTTTCTCTCTTGCGTGTTTCTTTGATGGCTATAGTTACAAACTGAGACAAAGAAAAGAACACTTTAATGGGGCTTTAAGACAAGGTAGCCTATGCAATTTTCCTTGAGAGTAGCTTAAAATAACATAAATATTTCAAAATTAAAAGGGATTGTAGAATATTATATGCCACTTTGTATGCCAAGAACAGCAACATTGTTTATTTGACTGAGCTGGACTGAAGATCTGTAGTGCATAGTGACAACATTCATCATTCTGAAAACTGTTAGCACATGGGGTTGTGTTTGCCTGAACACTGTAGTGACTTCAGAGAAGGAATAAATAAAATTCCTTTGCCTGATGTTAATTAGTCCCCTGCCAGCGCTCACACTCACACTCACACACGTGCATACACTGTCTGACCTTATTTCCAGAGTTTTGTTCATTTGAACATCTTTCCTTGATTTTTAATACTTCTTTAACCAATGGATTTGCCTTGATTCACATAGGTTTTTGGATTTAGGGACACAAGCTTTTTGAATCCCATGTTTTGACTTCTACTTAGTTAATCTCTTAACCAAACAAAGCCTTTGATACCTCATCTGTGTAATGGGAGTAAAAACATTTACCTTTGTATGATTATTTTCTTTTGAAGTTTTAAGTGATAAAGAGATGTTTAAAAGAAATCCTGATATGCTTTCTTAATACATATTAATATTCCCGTTTTTACCTTTTTATTAGATATGTTGCTAGAATCTAATCTCCTAATATGCTGTATAATGAGAGGTGAAGGACATAGAATTTGAGTCAGACCTGGGTTCAAATCTTGGGTCTGCCACTTATCAGCTATGTTCCCTGGGGTATTACTTAACCCATTAAAATGATATCCTAATTTATAAGGTGGTAATAATGATTTCTAATTTGTGCGGTTGTTGTGAGGATAATGTAAAATGTATATAAACTGCTCTGTATTAGCCCAGTGTCTACCATGTATTAATAACCTATTATTAAAATACTCTATTCGAATTACAATCTGTGGTCTAACTTCTGTTCAGCTTCTCCCAAGATGTCTTCCATTAGATTATGTTTCTGGAGGGTTAGGAGCCAGATTTGACTTCTTTTTTTAAATGATTTTATTTATTTATTTTTAGAGAGGGGAAGGGAAGGAGAAAGAGAGGGAGAGAAACATTAATGTGTGTTTGCCTCTCTCATACCCCCCACTGGGGACCTGGCCTGCAACCCAGGCATGTACCCTGGACTGGGAATCGAACCAACAACGTTTAGGTTTGCAGGCTGGCACTCAATACACTGGCCACACCAGCAAGGGTAGATTTGACTCCTTTTTGAACTTTGTAGAACCACCTAGAATAGTGCCAATAACATTATGTCAATGTTTGTTCAACTTCTGGCCAGTAGTAAGTGCCAGAGAATTTTGGCCTGCACAGCTCTCAGCCACTACCCTCAGGATGGCCAATAGGAGCAACAGGTTGGGGGAAATTATTACTTGTAATGGAAGCTGAATCAAATTAATGGTTTCCAAGTATAATGCCACAACAATTGTATTATATGGCTAGAACTCTATGAAAGATTATGTATTTGGCTCACATTTGTATAATATACATTAATTTATTCTGTAGCTAGGCCATGTCTTCTGCATTACTTTAAAAAATATGTGTGTGGCTTATCATGAGTACTATGCAATAGAGCCCACTATGCAGATGTTCCTGACATGTACTATTTGCTAATGACTTCATCATGACTAGTTATAAAGAAAAATGTAAAGAAAAAAAGCAGAAAGAAAGGGAATTGAATATAAGTAAAAAGGAAAAGAAGGAGAATAATCACATGGAATAGATGGTGCATTTGACCATGACTGTCTTGGCTTTGCTTTTCTGACTCTCATCTGTGGATCTATTGAGTATCATTATTCATGTTATAGTTTTCGTTCTTTTAAAATATTATCTTTGTAAAATCATTATAACTGTGATGTACTTAAAACATACTTTATTAATGTTATTAAAGTACTTAGATGCAGGAAGGGTAATTTAAAAACATACACTTGCCAACCAGGAAAAATAATTTTAGAAATAGAAATTTTAATATCTACAAAATAAAAATGAAGCACACTGAAAAATTGTCAATGCATTTCAAAATCTTACATTTTTCTTTTTATGCAGAAAAATGTTTTGTACAGTCTATCTTTATGTCACTATCTCCAGGAGGTAGATCTTACTTTATTCCTTATAGAACTTAGAACGTTGAATGGCTTATCTTAAAATGTCAAATAATATGAAACAATCAGAATGGGATTTTAGGGTTTTAGGTTCTCCTGCTGGGTATATTATTTTGAGCTTTTTATGTGATCTTGTTTATGGAGAAATTAAAAAGCAAACAGTTTTATTGTTTGATTGCTTTGTATTAATTGTTTTCATACTATAAGAGATGCAAGCTTCAGTCCCTGTTATTATGTTTGATTAACATTTTTCTATAAACCATCAAGACCTCTTTTTTTTTGTCTTAGTTAAATCAAATATGATTTCTGTACCTTTTCATTTGTGTTTGAAATAAAGCAAAAGTACCCTTCATTATAGTGTTTATTGAAGTGAATTCTTGTATATGGTTGTATGAATGCCTTAATAGATTTGAAATAAAGGCTGTCAAAATCAGAAATACTTGGAAAGATTTTATGTGGTTTTTCTTTCCATGCATTTGTGGCATTTTGGGGGTGAGGGGGGAGAGCTAAATTTTTGGTTTAGTCAAATAGTAAAGGATTTATTAAAAAAATATAAAATGTCTCAATTGCTCTTTTTAAAAATTTTTATTGTTACAAATGTCCACATTCTGCCCCATCCCCCACCTTTGCCTACCTTCCCCTTGCCTCTTGCTCCCCTCTGTCCATCATTGCATTGTTATCTGTGTCTATAGGTTTTGCATGTATATAATTTGACTAATCCCTTCACTTTCTTTTATCCAGTCCCCCCTTCCCCCTCCCCTCTGACAGCTGTCAGTCTGTTCATGTATCTATGCCCCTGTTTCTATTTTGTTCAGTTTATTTCGTTCATTGGATTCCACATATAAGTGAGATCAATTGCTCTGAAGTAAAATATATGAGAAATACTTTTTGGATAACTACTATGTAAAGTTAGCAAGAAAAAGATGTTATTTTCTTTTACTGTGTCCCCAGATTTCAATCTTTTTTTCATCTTTCTGTTTTTATTTTTTTCTTAATTGAATTTCAGCGGGTTGCTGAAGTATCAAACTAATTTAGATACCCACCCTCCTGGCTGCATCAATCTTAATAGAACCCACAACTGGAACATTCACTTACCCGAATATCTCTCAGAACATCTTCATGAATCTTTCCCTGGAGGATTTTCAAAACCAGATGAAGTTCCCTGGAACACATCGGTGAAGATTTGTATGGAAGAGCCCAGGTTCCAAGCTAATTTTCCACAGGTCAGATAATTTTATGTGTTTGATGGTCTCTGCAAAATTGATATTCCCATAGTAATTAATCAACGTTGCTTTAAATACATGTTTTTGAAGGTAATGAAGCCTTCAAATAATTATTCTTACAGAATAGAACATTTTAGGATGTTTCAATAGCAAGTTACTACCTATTGTTCCATTATAGGCAGCTGGGAGTTCAAGGGGAAAAAACCTATGACATTACAGAGTATAACTGACCATATAATCTCTACATACTATGGCACTGTTTTTACCACAAGAAAGGTAACAAAGATATTCTCTCTATCCACTGAGAAAAATAGGTTGGATAACAAAAACAATAATGAAAGAGCTAATAATATTTATCATAGTATAGTATAATTATGGTACAATATTATGCATAATATTATAAAAATAAATTGTAAAATTAATTTATTCACTGCTTAATACGATTTGCTAGGCAATGTGCTAATATGCAATGTATGCATATTTTTTAATAGTCACAATAACTCCTTGAAACAACCTATCATCCTCAATTTTCTGATGAGGAAACTGTTGCTTGAATACATAAAATACCTTGAGCAAACTTTACAAAACTAATATGTGGTAGAAGTAGAGTGCAAAACTAGGTGTTTGAGTAAAATGTTTGGTCTTGGAAAACTTCCCCAAAGTACCCAGTGAGTAGTGTGATAAGAGCCATAGTCTTTCCTTGTGGCTGAGGAAGCTGCCCATGTGGAATTACATCCTGTCATCCTTGTACCAAGTGGAAATAGGGGAAATAGTGATGTAGAGTGTCTCTTTTAAGAAGGAAGAGCAAATTAGAAAGTGTAAAAGCAGTCAAATACAAGGTAATAAAGGACACTCGACTTCAGGTGGTAAGTGCATAATATTCAGATGTTGTGTTATAAGGCAGCGCACCTGAAATTTATATAATGTTATAGGCCAATGATGCCCCAACAAATTTAATTTGAAAAAGAAGACGAGGAAAGAGGAGTTGAAATGTAGAGCGATTTGTTGATGACTTTGGAATGAATGTGACATTCTTGTGTTTATTATTATTAATAACCCTCTAGATTTCTATGAAGCTTTACAATTTTCCAAACTTTTCTCCTATATGTTGGGCAGGGCAGGTATTGTGACTCCCATTTTACTTATGTGTGACCTGATGCTCAAAGGTTAAGGGACTTTCCCAAAGTTGCAAGAGTGCTGTCACATTGTAGAGCTTATCCTGTGATTCTTACATACAGTGTCAAACTAAATGTCAGGAAGAGGCATAATTTGTCTGCAGGGTAGGAGGAAGGTCTGCAATAGCTATGTAAGTAAGGTTTTAAAAAGTGACCATTAAAATAAGCCTGGGTTGGAGGCTTCCAAGGGCTGAGGGAGATGCAGCGTGCATTTGTAACAGAAAGGTTGGCCACACAGGCGTCCGCACTCCCAGAGTGTACAGTTACCCTGGGATCAGGACTGTCTCTCCAGCACACATGCAAAATTGTCATCCATTCCAAGTTCTAAATATTATTTTCTTATGTATTTATATTAGAGTTTTTATGTGAAAGTAAGTCGTGAGCAACATGCATAGTCTATACCATATTTAAAAATATGCACGTGCACATATTCTACATTTTGCACATGTACTTCATGCATTAAAATATCTAGGGTTTTTTAACAAACATTGGACTGGTACATGGTTTCTAAAATCATTTTCAGATTTATTTGAGCTTTTAATCTCCCTTTCATCTCTCTTTAGAGAAAAGTATTATGTAAATGCATTATATATGTGTTGTATGCACAAAAGGATGTATGAAATGGTGTATATGTGATTAACTGCTAATGGTAGCTATACCCTGGGCAGTGGTTTGTGAATAGGGTCTTGACATTACTATACCTTTTATACTGTACTGTTATTTGAATAAGTTGCAGGGTAAGTCTGTGATTTTTCTTTACATTTTATTATTTAGAATACAGATTATAAATTTTTACTGTAATGTGCCAAGTAAACGATTGGACAGTATATAAAGGGTCCTACAATACAAGTATTTCTTAAAGTGCATTTTAAAAATTCTCTGTTAGACTTGGCTTTGGATTTCTGGACCTTTGTGCCTGTATTGTGCTGAAAGGCTTTACAGGTGCATCCGGAGTAATAAGCCAGTCACCATCATCTCAGTCATAAGTCATCCCTCAGATGTCATGGAAATTCGAATGGTCAAAGAAAATTTTAAAGCAAGACCTGGCCAGGTAAGTCATTGTTCAGCAACTTTTAAAATACCCCTTAGTCTTACATAACTTTTGAAAATTAGCAAATTAGTGCTGTCTTTGGAATACTGGAACTTATTTCTTGGTCATTTAACAATTGTTTGTTGCTTTTTAGTACATTATTCTACATTGTCCCAGTGTATCTGCATTAGAAAACCATCCATTTACCCTCACAATGGTAAGAAACATGTTCTTTAGATGTTTTTAGAATGAAATACCTATGTTCCTTTGTTGTGTGTGTATTCCACCTCATTCTAATAGTCGTTCAAGGCTGTCACAATATCCTTAATGTTTAAGCAAGCCATCTTTTTTACAAAGAAATATAATTATCTGTACAGAAAACTCGTAACTGTTATTCATTATATTCTACCATTTTAAGATTCAAAAGTAGTATATTTACAATTTATTAAATCTTGTTGATTCCAAATGCAGAACGTTTCCTTGATATTTGCATTTTTCCTTTTATGGGCTATGTACCAAAATATAAAATGTGCATGATTTTCTTTAAAGAGATTGAATTTTAGGAAAAAGAGGGTACTCTGAGTTAAGGTGGAAGCATAAGAAAATCAAGGCAGCATTTAGATAAGAAGTCCAGAATAAGTGGCATCCATGCTGTATATGGAGGAGGAAAAAGAAAATAAAGTCAGAAAAAATAAGGAATAAATAATGGAGGGGGTTACCTAGCTAAAAATGAAATCACCAAACAGTTTTGCACATTGTTAACATTATTTTATGCATTGTAAAAATGGCAGAGCCTTTATAAAGACGCAAACAATTTACAAGTAAACAAAATAAAAAGGAACTGTTTCTAATTTTCCCCCTTTTCAATTTTTTTCTTCTAGAGTTTGACTTATATTCTTCTAGACATTATCCTACATAATTTGGCATACATAGGTGTTTGGCACATTTGCTGAACCATTTGTTTTATAATTTTCTTTTTTACTCAACAATATATTTTGGGCAATTTTTCACATTACTATATTTTTATATGCCTTTTTTTAATGACTGCATAATATTTTACAATTTATTTAATACTACCCATTGATCATGAGGATTAAGATTTTATTCAGTTTTGAACAAAGTTAGCTGAGAACAGGGACCACATGTTTAAATGTGTGCTTAACATATGCAAATTACCTTGAAGAAATTATGGGGTGGGAGGCAGATAAATAACTGGTTTGACGTCAGTGCTGAGGTGTAAGATTGATTGAGGTTTACTAGAACTGGAACTGCTATCAAATTTGACATGCCCCTTGAGAACATGTACTTGTAAAGAGACCTAGGCCAGAAAAATTTATATTTAAAAGATAAAAGAAATAAAAAAAGAGTGTCACATGGTTAGAGAAAAAATAGAAGTTATTTTGAATAATTTCAGTTATTTAAAGGAAAAATATTTTTGCTTCATTGCCCCAAATTTAGCATTCTGTTTGTATGTAGTAAATTTATTTATTAATGGTTAAGAAAACAATATGGTCATTACCAGAAAGAAGGGATACCGGGGGTAATAAAGGGTAAAGGGGGCCAAAAATATGGTGATAGAAGATTTGACTGTGGGTGGTGGGCACATAATGCAGTGCACAGGTGATGTGTCAGAGAAATGTATGCTTGAAACCTATATAATTTTACTAACCAATGTCATGCAGTAAATTTAATTAAAAAATATAATTTGGCATCTAGTGAAATAACTAACAACATTCTATTATATCAGGAAAGATCTAAGTTCAGAAGTGAGCTGGGTGAAGGCAAAGAAATTGGATGCTTGGAATTCCATATTCATGTTTTTCATTTTTTCTGACCATCTGTGTACCATGTACTGTTGTATAGGCCTAGGAAAGAGTTTGTAGCCTTCCAAGATAATATGAGAGTCAACTCATTAATCCTATGCCCTGCAGGAGTTTCTGTTTTTATAAGATGGAAAAGAGGCACATCTTTCTTCTGTCTAGAAATAAATTTGAGTAGGGAAAACATTTTTAAGCTAAATTTTACATTGTGCCGTTTTGTTAGTTTACCATTGCTGACCTTAAACAAACAGCCAGATGTTTGTCCAGCAAATTGGGTTCACTGGGGAACAACAAAGAACTGCAATTTGGGACATGTAGTCTAATGGTGAACTTCTTGCAAGTCCAAAGAACAAAGGAGAGAAACTTTCTTTTACAGAGGAAAAGGGGAGTTCCGAAGAGTTGTTGTAAAGAGAGTCCATTGGAGGAGACTGAGTGTTTGAAGTGTAGTGGCTTTTCACTAGCTGAGCTGTAAAAGTCTTTTTTTGGATGAGTAGTTGCAGGGCAAATAGAACATCTTTACTTCTTCATGCTTGGGCATGTAAGTAGAAAAATGTCTTCCTGTTGGAAATGGAGAATACGTCTCTTCCTGATGGGGTAATTCACTGAGTGGTGAGTGAGAGCTGCCCCTAAAGACCCTTACAGTTCAAATTTAAATGAGGTTTCTGTTTATTAATCACACTAACTTTTCCTGCCAGTCCCTTCATTCTTCATTTTGTCCAATTAGTTCTACTTGGCACTTACATGTAAAATGCATGCTTGTTAAACATTTTCCCTTAAGGGTTCCTATGTTGTTTTTTTAAAAAAAATTTTATTGTTTATTCCATTACAGTTGTCCCAATTTTTTTACCTTTTGCACCCCTCCACCCAGCCCACCCCTCTTTCACACAGTTAATTCCCTCTCTATTATTCATGTCCATGAATAATTCATACATGGTCTATGATCCCTTCCGCCTCCTTTCGCCATTTCCCTCCTCCCTTCTCCCTTCCTACAGCTATCAGTCTTTTCTTTCTATGTTTCCATATCTCTGGTTCTATCTTTCTCATTAGTTTATTTTGTTCATTAGATTCCAATTATAAGTGAGGTCATGTGGTATTTGTCTTTTGCTGAGTGGCTTATTTCACTCAGCATAGTAGTCTTCTAGTTCCATCCATGCTGTCGTGCAAAAGGTAGGAATTCCTTCTTTCTTTCTTTCTGCTGCGTAACGCTCCTTTGCGTAAATGGACAACAGTTTGTTTAATCTACTCATCTACTGATGGGCACTTGGGCTGTTTCCAACACTTGAACACTTGGCTATTATAAATGACACTGCTATGAATATAAAGCTGCATAAGTTCTTTTGAATTGGTGTTTCAGGATTCTTAAGATATCATTACAGCAGTGGAATCACTGAGTCATAAGACAGTTCCATTTTTAGTTTTCTGAGGAAATTCCATACCGTTTTCCACAGTGGCTGCACCAGTCTGCATTCCCACCAGCAGTATAAGCAGGTTCCCTTTTCTCCACGTCCTCGCCAGCACTTGTTTGTTGATTTATTAGTGATGGCCATTTTGGTAGGTGTGAGGTGATATCTCATTGTGGTTTTAATTTGCATGTCTCTGATGATTAGTGATGCTGAGCATTTTTTCATAATGTCTATGGGCTATTTGTATGTCCTCCTTGGAGAAGTGTCTATTTGGGTCCTTTGCCCATTTTTTAATTTGGTTGTTTTCTTCCTGGTGTTGAGTCATATGAGTTCTTTATATATTTTGGAAATTAAACCCTTGTCCAATGTATCATTGGCAAATATGTTCTTCATACAGTCTGTTCTCTTTTCATCTTGATGATGGTTTCTTTAGCCATGCAGAAACTTTTTAATTAGATGTAGTCCCATTTGTTTATTTTTTCCCTTATTTCCCTTGTCCAAATATTGGCAAAAATATTGATGTGTGGGATGCCTGAAAATTTGCTGCCGCTGTTTCCCTCTAGGACTTTTATGGTATCATGACTTATATTTAAGTCCTTTATCCATTTTGAGTTTATTCTGGTATATGGTGTAAGTTGGTGGTCTAATTTCATTTTTTTGCATGTACCAGTCCAGTTCTCCCAACACGATTTATTGAAGAGACTGTCTATACTCCACTGTATGCTCATGTCCGCTTTATCAAATATTAATTTACCATAAAGACATGAGTTTATTTCTGGGCTCTTCATTCTTTTCCATTGATCTATGTGTCTTGTTTTATGCCAGTACCAGATTGTCTTTATTACGGTGGCCTTGTAGTATAGTTTAATATAGGTATTGTGATCCCTCCAACTTTGTTGTTCTTTCTCGGGATTGCTGAGGCTATTCTTATTTGGTTACATATAAATTTTTGGAGTATTTGTTCTAGATCTGTGAAATATGTCATTGGTATTTTAATAGGGATTACATTGAATCTATAGATTGCTTTGGGTAATATGGATATTTTAATGATGTTAATTCTTCCAATCCATGAACATGGTATATGCTTCTACTTATTTTGTATCATCCTCAATTTCTTTCCTCAGTGTCCTAAAGTTTTCCAAGTACAAATCTTTTATATCCATAGTTAAATTTATTTCTAAGTACTTTGTTTTTCTTGTTGCTACAGTAAATGGAATTTTTTTGTTAGTTTCTCTTTCTGATAATTCATTGTTGGTGTACAAGAATGTCATTGGTTTCTGAATATTGACTTTGTATCCCACTACTTTGCCTATTTTACTTATTAGGTGGAGCAGTTTTTTGGTGGAGACAATAGTGTTTCCTTTTTTTTCCCCTTTGTGGAAATAATATGAAACATTTATTATTTATTTTATATATCAGACTAGAGCAAAGCTAAGTATTCCAACTCTACTGCAGCATTATAAAAGTCATCCCTTCACCACAGTGTAAGATCTAAGTGCATCTGTACTGCTGCCCTACCATACTTCCAGTTCCTACCCAGGTCCTACTGCAATACTGGTCGTCCCCGTAGTTTTATCGAAATAAATCATTTTTAAAAAAATAAAGCATTTAAAAAGAAAAAGCAAAATGTCTCAGCAGCCATATATCAACTCAAACTATTTAAATGTTATATTTCCCTTCCACTAATAAACCTTTATTTCACTCAAACTGAGCAATAAATCTTCCATATGAGGTATTTGCCCAATTAATTCAAAGGAAAACACCAAAATGATTAGTAAAGAAAACTGTAGGGTTTAACATACTCTTTTAATTTGTTTTTAAATATTTTTAAGACTTAAAATATTTAAACTTTATAATTCCTAGTAGGAAAACATTATCTGAAAGAATATCATAATGGCAAACCACTGTAAAATGTTATAGCTGCATTTGGGGCAGAGAAGTAGGGATTCTCTTCAATGAAAGCACCCCAGCTTTCATCATGAGAAGGTCAAAGG